GAGGTCTCTCGTACCTGTATATTTCAAAGCGGGAGTTCTTAGCTGTTTGAAGTGGCTATTTATATATCAAAGTATAGTTTTATCTGGTACTCGTTATGATGCATTTATTCTTCTTATTTGTGTTAGCACTTGCATAGTCATATTCATATATGTAAGTTTAATGCAAAACTTATTCCTTTTAAAACTGCGATAATGACATTACACAAAGGTGATTGTTGTCTCTTTAAACACCCGACTCATGCAATATTTTACTGTGAACCGACAATCGGCCGATAAACGCTCCGTAGCCTGGGCGGCATCTATATACCTTCATCAAGGTATTTTTTCATTCTACCAACTTAGTGCACTGAGGCGATACTGCATTCACACTTCAATAGTGCTCCAACCTGTCACAGGATGGGGACATCCCATTCTCATACCCACCCCAAGCCTGCACCCCGAGCTTCAGAGATGATTTTAAAAAACCTCTACACTGTAGCATACCCTTGCCGTTTCAAGTAACTTGTTTGCTTGTAAACTGTAGTGGCTTGCTTTAAGTTCTTTTAAGCTCAGAGTGCCAGCTAGCCACTTTAGGCGTCTCCGCCGCGCTCTCTTTCATAGTAAGCACAATGACTCTTTAACCGTGTGGCTTGTCCTCAAACATACTGCAGTGACTGATGCAGAACCAAATGCAGTTTGAGCTTGAAATCCAATCTGATTAGATTTTATTTTAAGGGGAGGGGGGGGGGGGGGCTTTTTCATTATAGCCTACACACATTAATTCTTTTAAGGTGTGACTTTGAACTCCCATGTGTCTCGAGCCCTGTGCTGGGTATATTATCTGAATATTAACAGTAACAGTAATGCCTAAATAAAAATTGATGCTGTTAATGCCAGTAAGCGTTATATACTATTAAATCGAAATTGACAAAACCCTTATTTTGTGCACTGTCATCGTAAAAAAACATGGAAGGAAAACTGTCTTACTTCTCGTTTCCAAACTTAAATTAAGAATGGTTCTTAGGGCTGAAATAAAGCTCGAGTTGGAATACCAGCCTGATTCGATTCATTTTTTAATAAAGTTATTCAGCTGTGTGATTTTTTTCATTTCTCACAACATTATTAAGGTGTGACTCTGATCTCCCTTTGGCTTGGTCCTCACCTAGGAATGAAACTCTTGCGTAAGTATTCAGAATTCGAGTTCGCACCGAGTGCCGAGTGAAGTCGAATGAAGCGCATCGGTGGCTTCGTCGGCCTCCGGGGCCAATGAGAACTGTGTCAGTGTCCGGAGTTTTTACACCGTGACCGGGTCAATCCCCACCAAATCGCCGACCTGGCCTCGCTAACCAACTGCATCGCATATCATTCGGCTAACCGTATCTGAAATTTACGTGTACCATAGGAGTTCAGCAGACTGTAGCATGCACAATATTATGAGTCTTCACAACTTCAGAAACAATAACAGCGACAATAACAACAACAACAACAATAAGAACGTAAAGTTAAAACAACTTTGAATTTATTTATCAAGTGGGTTCGGGTCAAAGACAGAAAGTTACCAAGTGCATACCCTCTACTAGGGCGACAGAGTTTTCACAAGATATTCGCAGATATGTCTTTAGATAAATAGACAGTCATTTGATTCTCTGGCTTTTTGAATATTTGCCTATAATTTCTGCCACCCTGCTAGGGGGTACCAAGTGCAACTATAATCGCATCAATAGTCAGCTGGTACGATAACTGAATTTTGTTTTAGATAAAAATGGAAAGCGTTCTCATCAAACAATGTGTTAGGGCGTATTCCCAGAGCTTTTAGATCGATCTATCCCCGCGGGGAGTCTCACTAGATTACTGTCAGATAATCCGGCTTAAATGTTCGTTCCGCCTACTACAAGCTGTAAGGGGGTAATTAACTTCCGTGCCCGCTCGGCTGACAGCTATTTAGCGTGAACCCCCAGGGAGTTAGGTCGATCTAGTTTGGACCGATCTAATCTCTGGGAATGGGGTCTTACTCTCGCTGAATGCAATCAGTTTAACAGGTTAATATCACTCCTGCCGTTGAGCAGAATGCAGAAAAGCCGGTGGTTATACAAGTATGCTGGAAACAAGAGTAGGCGTGTAAGAGTGGGTTCCCATACTTAGATCGGTCCATCTGGATCGACCTAACTCCCTGGGAAGTCTCACTAAATTGCTATCAAATAAAAAAAAACGGCTTAAATGTCTGTCACGCCTACCGAATCACCTAGGGGGTAAAGATAATTACCCCCTACCAGCTTTACTAGGCGTGACAGACATTTAAGCCGGTCGAGTTGACAGCAATTAAGTGAGACTCCCCAGGGAGATAAATCGATCCAAATATCTGTGGGAATGGTCTCTAAATCTGTTTAACTGGTTGCATAGCGATCGAGAGTCACCGCAGAGTTGGATCGATCTGCATAGACCGATGTTTTCAATGGGAATGAGCCCTATGGGGCTATTAGGTAATGGTGGACTGGTTGATTTCACAATTAAAAGTAATATTCCGTGATAACAGCCTCGGGGCTGGCTGCGACTTTGTGAACTTTCCAAATACAAAGCAACATGAGGCGTGAACGAAGTAGCGATTAAAAAGATTGTAAATGTTGAATACTTGGCTGACAAAATGGAAGGGAATATGTATCAATATTGCAAATGATGCCAGAAAGAAATGCGCAGCGTGTGTAAATAATACCGTATAATGACAGAAAAGCAACACCTGGCGAAATAAAAGTGTACGTTATAATAGTCGGTGTCACCATAACACTGATAGTCTTATTCGCCACACACTACATACTAAAGGTGTGTAATTTGATCTTAAGGTAACATCATGTACCCCATGTTAACTTCACTTCTGTAAATAATGTATTATGTATTCTTGGTGTGAAGTTGTCTTAATATCAGTTACAAATTTTCTCGAACAGCAGATAAGTAGATCGAGGATTCTTTTTGTTCCGTTTTATGGTCGCTTAAATTTGATTGGGGACTTTGGAGTCATTGGCTATCTGTCATTATTTCATTCAATGCTAATCTATTGTTTTAATTATTATCATTAAATTAGTTTATTTTATAGAAGGTTTATCCCTCGCTGAAATCATTCACAGTCTTACATCCACTTAAATACTCGACATTTTACGCTTCTTTACTTCTTTGTGGCCGCTGAAAAATCGGATATAAGACATAATTAAANGTGTGAGTACATTAAATTGGAGAAAATAGACATAGATAGACAAAGCTCTTTATTTGACTGTCTCAGTAGATATTCAGAAGTTTAAATTTAAGATTGTCCAAAGGCGAGCAGCAGTGCATATAATTCCTAAGGTTCAAAGACCTGATTGTATTGGTATGTGTAATTCATTTATCAGTTGTTTGTGATTGTACATAAATTTGTGGAGTTTTGTATTGTTAGAATGTATTATACATGTAAATCCTTATTGGTAATTACCAAACAGCAGTGAGAATATGATAATCCTATAGTGTAAACACTGCATATTGAACATGACAAACATTGATTTCATTTATATCATAAGTAAAGCCATAACATGGTCAATATTCAGGAACTTCTGGGTACAGTGAATAGTTTTCTGATGGAGAAGAAGGTGAATATACATGTAATTGTAGATCTCACTGCCGCACAGAGGCGCAAATGATTTATGATAATTTTGTTGATTTTATATAAAATATTCAAACACTTATGATAAAGATGTATGTTTTGTTGACAATTTTGTGTCCATCTTACAGAATATGTCTATTAAAATGCTCTTTCAGGGTTTTTTGTTTTAAAAGCTTAGGGAATGGATTAACAAGTGTCTCAAATTTGTCAATAAATTTGGTCTTATACATAACCCTTAGACTGTGATGAAATGAGCATGGCTACCCAAGTTATTTATTTTTATTTTATTTATTTTTTGCTTTGTATATTGATTTATCAATTTTCCATTGAAACGCTTTTCATACTGGATTCTTGTGTGTGTATGTAGACATGTACACTATTGGTCAAAAATTGTGTCCTAACTCGAGTTCCATGACATGGCATGTGTTTTTGTTTACATATGATCATCTCACAGCTGTAAACCATTTTAAATATTTTTTAAATTCCATTTACCATACCTAATTTGACGTGCGGTACAGAAAGTACAAAATGTCGATCTATATTATATACCATTTATTCAAGTTTAGAGCATACGCTCCTCAAATCTGACGTTCCACTGTCATTTCCATTGAGCAAAAAAAGACCAGCAAAATTAAAAATATGCCACCAGATACACACACGATTAGCTTGAGCATACAATCCTCTGGCTCAGTTCATTTATGAGAACAGTAAATACATCATTACCAAAATCACGAAGCATGCAATTGGTATAAAGATTGCTGTTGCGCTTTCTTCCAGTCCAAAAGGAGTTTCTTACTTTTCCCTCAGTCGGCGTCAGAATGAGGCAAAAATGACGCGAAAGATCCTGTGTTTGTGTGAGCGCACGATTGTGTGGAACATCTACGGGGGAGACGAGAGAGAGAGAGGTAACAAGAGACCAGCTCAATGCTGAGAGTCCATGTAGTACTACTGTGAGTACAGCCCCCTTTACACTGGACGGCGTCCTTTCTGCTTCCGTTAGAACGGCCCCGTTTGAGAGCAAATAAAACCATTACTTCTGTGCCGACAACTGATCGATCACTGAGGATTCAATCTGTAGCCAAAGCGATGCTTATGCCTCTTCTCTACGACCATATCGATGCCAGTTACATAGTCCACAAAGGACGCAGAAAGGACGCCGTCTAGTGTGAAAGGGGCTTAAAAAACGGAATACATTTCAAAATTTTTTAGAGGGCGAGGGGGCATGTCTCCAGTTTAACTTACAGGCACCAGGACACCGCAGTATATATATCTACCTCACCATGACATGTTGCGGGCCATGTTGACTGTTGACTTCCCGAAAAACGCGGGATATCCAACATGACAGACAGCAATCAACATCGACAATTTTGATCGTAGTAGTAGTACAATTTTATTATTACATGTACTGTATCAAAGGGATTGAACTCTCAAGATGAAAGTAAGCCGAGTTAACTGATAACCCTTTTGGTTCTTTCACACAGAGTATGCTTAAAATAGATCAAAATACGTGAATCAAGTGACATGCCTTGGCTATCTTCATCCCAAATGTGCCCATAAAATGTAAAATGTAGCACAGCTGATCTTACTTAAGCCCCGATTATATAGTGAACCTTTCGATGCACGTAAATTACTTGGAGTTACTGTTGCACACATATTGATCCCATTTACATAAATAGAATAAAATGTGAATAGTGTACAGTATAAAGTAAAATTTCGTTTTTAACTGAAGATGTGAGGTTGTTTGTTATGCTTTTCTGTGCACGTGAAGTGAAAGACTTCACTCGGATTTGGAATCACGTCGGAGCCCTTCGTTGACGAAATGGCGTCTCAGTATACGCATCTTATAAGTTATAATATAACTAAATTTAGTGATAGCCACGCTATGATCAAGGCACAAACAGTAGGAATTTTACTTTTTAAATTTTAAATTAAAATTTTACCGCCCAGTTTCACTCACACACATACATAGAACTACTTGGCATTAGTATATACTCAGAGAACTTGGGTGGGCATCGACCCTAAGAACCCAAGTCACTCACGCGCCATTGGTCAATTAAGTTATAATTATAAAGTTCATTGATATATCCCACTGTTTTCAGACTAACTTACTTCCAGCTTGTTCCTACTTGTACAATATACATATTTTATTTCAGTTATATTTTTGTAGTTTTCTGTGAGGTGAAAATACCCAAGCTATCAGAAGCGATAGAAGTGACCACTATAAGATCACATACCTAAGTAAGCATCAATATATATATATATACCCCATTCAACTTTTGGATGTCTTAATTCAATGGGCTTCTCTATGTAAAACATCCTCCGTAAGTATGGCGCGGTCGCAAAGGGGCAAAATGACTCGATATAATTTTGTGGGAAAAATGACTCGTTTCAGGAAATAAACAGTTCAACTTATGCTTTACTACTAAACAATGTGTTATTATTATGTTTAAGTGCCGTAGCACAAGATAATCCTTAAATAATCACAAGTTACCCTACACCGGTCTGATACGAACTGTCCAAGATACATATTCATTTCTAAAAAGATGGTATCCTACCTTTAGCTTTCTATAATGCTGTCAGTTCAGCTAAGGGTGGGAGGGGGGGGGGATAAAGTCAGCAGCTGTTAACACTAAAAATGTATTCACACTATCGTGTATATCCCGAAAGTAATAATTATAATAATAAAAACTATATTTAAAGAACGTGAAACATGTTGCACATGGCCCTCAATACAAGCAGTGAACGAAGTTTTTAAACAAACAAATGACAGACGAAAACATTGCTTCCATACTATGTAACTACAGAAGGCAAAAAAATTAAATCAAGTACATAAAGCTAGCAAACAGATCAATAAATAAAGTAGATAAAAAATAAAGTTGTATGGAAAGCTGTATAGACTTTACCATCTAACCCAATGCAGTACTCAACATGACAGTAGTAATATAAATTTTTCCACAAAAAATTTCCACAAATCTCAACGCGTCTTACAGTAAGTAAATTAAATTAATATGAACACTACCAAAAATTATATTGAAAATACAAAGAAAGAAATAATCTCATACAGCAACAACACTGGGTTAAAAAATATCAGACAGTAAAAAATATAAAAGATATGCGTCTTTAAAAAATTGTTTAAAAAAATACGTCTTGTTGTACTTTCATCATCATATCAGAGATACCCATACTAATATTAAAACTTTGAAAAGCCATGCCTACGTTGGTGTAATCAGTGAATACTTTTTATCGACCTGAAGCATTTTATAAATTCGATCACATGCCACGGTGGTATTTTTCTCGCCAAATATGGGGAATCCATGCGATTTGTAATACGACAACAATCGGTTCACATCCTGGTAGTGTCTTTCTTGAGCCTTCATACAGCCCGGGTGCCAGGTCCAGTCGGTGAACTCAAAATTAAACAGGTCTCTTTGAATGACGCTCCTACTGAAAAATCTACAGTGATTCGGGCACATTTCGAAGCCACCGGAATAGCAAATCCCCATCAGAAGAGCTTGAGGGTAGTAAGTTTCCCTGTCGTACGGTGTTTTCAACAGTTCCTGTTTGGGTACTGTCTGATATTTCCAATGCATTGAAGTTCTAGCGATGGGGGATAGTTCCTCCGTCGTAAAATTTTCTTTGTAAGTTTTGAGAGGTGCTCTCCCGGGGAGTTCGGTTTTGAAGTCTCCGTTTGGGCGCATTTGGATGCGAAAGATGTATTCCTTGCGATGGAGAGTGTATATACACTGACACATTATGCTGAATTGAGAAAAGAGATTGTCGACTGATATTTCTTTAATGATTGCATCGAAAGATTTCTTATGTAACCGCTCCAAGTAATGGCGACATTCAACAACATGTTTTACTTTTATGATGACAGGAAAGTATGACATGCATTTCATGACTTCTCCAGTCCCGAATAAATTGTAATGCTTCATTGTTGTCATTCCCCATTCTTTCGTCAGAAACTGGCCAATGACGCCGACCACGATAGGTTTGCCGTCTCTGAAAAGGTCTTCCGGCGTAACAACCGTAACGAACAGAGTGTCTGTATCCACGTAGCCAACGTACTCGGCCTTGGTGTAATTTTCGGGATAAAACATCGACCGCTGCATACGGCTTGGCCCTCGATGGTTGTATATTTCTGGGTAGGGGTCTTCAAAGAAAACCTTCGGAAAAGGCGGGCTGTCTCTTATCGTTGCTTCCAACGCATGGTCCTCTTTCGATTCATTGTCTAAGATAACCATCACACGAATATGACGCGGCCAGAAAAGCATCAAGCTGGGTTTGAAGATCTTCTCGTAAAGATGATGATGTTTGTGGTACATGCGAAGGAACAGTTCAAGCGTCGGAACAGAGTTCCAGACACCTGGGATATTGGAGTTAGACCCGCTAGCACTAGTACCTGCCGGCGCCCCTTCATCCACGACGTGGCTTGGTCCTCCGGAGAGACTTTGGAGCGGGGACGTTGTTTTCTTATGCATTGTTATTAACAATACCATAATGCCCCCTATCGCCACACCGATACATAATCTTATTAGTAGCGTACTTCTCATGACTGTACATGTGGTTTCATTTCAAAACCAGCAGAGCGTTTTTTGTAGCAATACCTGAGTACACCAGTCGAAAAGTCACTGCAAATTATAAACAGATCGCTAGATGTCCACCTTTCCAAAGAGAATGTTGACACGGCTTACACACTTCGGGGGTCACCTTGACTGGTCGGTGAACGGGTGTCGTAAAATCGTCCTATTATTAATAAACCGGGTGCATCAACCTGAAAAAACTATAATAAAATAACTGTCATTCTATTATGCCAAAGCACATTTTAAAAACACCAAATTCGATAGCAGCATTCAAAACGTAATAATAAAATAATCATTTGGTTATCTTACGACACTCGTTTACTGACAAGTCAAGGTGAGCGTCAAGGTGACGACCGCAACAACAACAACACTGGGTTAAAAAATATCAGACAGTAAACCTAAAACACGGAACAGCGGAACAACGGAACAGCGGAACAGACTATAATGCGGAACATTGTTACTGTGGAACACACGACGCAGGAACGGAACAGCATAAAAGACGGAACGTTTAATTGTTGTGACTGCTGGCTTGCGGAACCAACAGTGCGGAACGGCCTTAGAAAACAAACGCTCCAATAACAACCAAAGAAAATTGTGACGTCACAGATAACTTAGACTATTAATAAATTTACAATTACAAGTAAACAAGAAAATATTTTTACAAAATAAAAATATCAAAATTATAAATATGCGTCAGCTCATTGTTTTATATCAATAAATTCCTGAAATTACATTAGTTTTTATTTCAATGGTGATTAATCTTTTATCGTAGCAAATTAAACCCTACCATTGTATAAGTCATAGACGTTTGAGAGTGTATAAAATGGCTAAATTACAGCGAATAAGGAAAGGATGATGTGTTTTCTATCTCACCCCACCAATACTCACTACGGCCTTTTATGTTTCTTTTCTCTTTTCAATAAAAATTAGAGATATTTGTTGTTTGTTTTCCTATTTGCAAACTGTGGAGTCTACGTCATAATCGCTATCACCATAATGCTACAATAGCACTAGCAGCGGCAACGCTTAGAGATGCGCGATGGCGCAGAGAATGGTTGATACAATATCTGAAAAAAACGCCCCGCTAACAACAGATAAAGTGTGTCGACTATTTAATCACACTGAGAAAGTGGACGTCATTCCGTTTCGACCAAAAGGAGGACAAACATTTGTTTTCAAAGCCAATTCGGAGGCGGAAAAAGAAGACTGGAGGGCAGACGGCCATAGGTGGACAAACGGCAGTTCTAAAAAATTACCTAGGAAACAACCATTATACAAAAAATCATACTTTTATGCAAAGGGTGCAGATGGAAAAGCCACCGTCATGCAGTTGTCCACTGAAAGATGGGTGCGTGCACCTTATGGCAGTGCCCATGAGCATCAATTTGCCATTAGAGAAATCAGGCCTCAAAAACTTATCAACTGTCAGGAAAAACGCAAGAGGGCCGAAAAGAGCAAAGCCTGGAAGGAAAAAACCTCGGGTGGGTGATGTATGTGACACCGGAACGGAACACTTAGCTCTAGACGCGGAACAACAGAACAACTACCACGGAACGGAACACATAGACATCGCCCACGGAACGGAACACTTAACTCTGGACGCGGAACACAGAGACAACGGCTACGGAGCGGAATACTTAACTCGGGACACGGAACAACGGAACAATGACCACGGAACGGAACACTTAATTAACTCTGGACCACGGAACGGAACACTTAACTCACACAGACATCGACCACGGAATGGAACACTTAACTCTGGACGCGGAACACATCGATGAAAGTTTTCAAAGGGACATCAGCTACAGCAGAGAAGTGTGGATCCCGGCTGACAGGAATATTATTAAAGAAAATTTGAACGTCAGAGACCGCGACATAATCACTGACCCTTGCGGTTGGCTAAATGGAACCATCATCGACGCTTGTCATGATATAATTAAATATCAATTCCCGCTTCTAGAAGGACTCGAGTCATGTGCTCTGGCAGTACAGCTAGATTTCAAGCGTCACAAAAATCAATTCATCCAAATTATAAACCGAACACCAGACCGCGGTACACACTGGCTCACAGTATCAAACATTGGGTGTGCCCCAGATACAGTTAATATATGCGATTCCTCTTTCAGTGACATTCCAACTGTGGAACAAATGTGCATTGCGTCATTAATAGCACCATCGTCTGCAAGAACTCTACAAATTAACGTTTTGGACGTAACGCAACAAAACAACAACTATGATTGCGGTCTGTACGCAATAGCAAATATGGTTGCCTTGGCGCATGGTAAAGATCCCACAAACATGAAGTATGACAGTAAAAAACTGCGTTCACATTTATTTTTTTGTTTAGAAAGACGACATCTTTCTCTTTTTCCGATAACAAGCAGACGTAAAATTAAAAATCCTATCAAAAATTCGGTCGCGGTAAATTTATATTGTAATTGTAAATTACCAGATACACATACCCTCTATGTCATCTGTGACGGGTGCAATGAGGAATATCATCCTCAGTGTATAGGACGCAGTGACGAGGACGCATTGAATGAAGAACGAATGTATTGCACAGAATGCAGAAAAAGACAACAACAATAATAATAATAACTCAATATAACGCATTGAAACAAGAAATAATATATTGGCGTTCAAATTTTCTTTAATTATATGCAGGAAAAGAAGACAACTACAACAATAATAATAACTCAATGTATTCATATTCGTCTTGTTTTTCTTTTACCACTAAATAAATAATATTTCCTCGTTCCACAATGTATTTGATACACGTTCCGCTTTTTACTGTATTCCGCATTTTAGTCTGTTCCGCTGTTCCGTTGTTCCGGTGTTCCGTCTTTTAGGTTCTGCCCGAGCGAACCGGTTTTGGACGTAAAGAAGATGATGTTTGTGGTACATGCGAAGGAACAGTTCAATCGTCGGAACAGAGTTTATTAGTGATTATTAGAGCGGAAATATAAACGTTGGACTCTGTGAAGCGTCACGGCCCAAACAGAGTCAAGATGGCAGCAGCAGGTAGGCCCTATCAGGGGGTGGAAACGCGCTACTTATATGGTTATGACGAGCCTAACCGTCAGCACCGGATATTAGTTTGTGACCTTGAGGGGCAATTAGGCTTGGTCTTTGCGGCACGCGCGAACAGTAGTCGATCTACCACACCTGGGTCTTTTGTGTTTGACAACTGTTCACTCGTCAACGAGGTGCTTGTTCTAGACTACAGACTGATATCTACTAGTACTACCAGTGGCTTCATTAGTAACGTTCCCACAATACATGGTTTTCTGTCTGTGCGTACATACCCTGAATTCGGTTAGCCTCACTGACGTAACGAGAACAATGGACGTTTCTTACCCCTCTCTAGGATTACCCCTGGCCCTATATCACAGGCCACAGAATTTAATGGCTCATTCCCCTTGAAACCATCAATGTCGGTCTACGTAGATCGTTCGGTAGGCTACTTTTGTAGTATACCCCCCCC